CCTCCATCACAAGAAACTCAGTACTAAATGTTAATCCACAACTAAACTATTAATTATTTTGTGATTACATTAATATATATAAATATATATATATATATATATATATATATATGTATGCACAAGACCTTCAAAAAAATCAAGAAGAAGTAGGGATCCACTGATCACCTTGAATGAAATTCTGAACCGAATACGAATAAGCACGCTCCACCGGAATCTGGCTACTCCAGCTCACTCGATTACTCGTATTCGAACCGGGCCCCACATTTTCAAATTCACCGTAATAAAGTGTACTCAACGCAAAATCGCCACTCCAAGGCATCCACCCCTCTGCCTTCACAATAACCTCCAAAAAACACCCAATAAAAACCGTCCTCGAATATTCCTTCCAAGGTCTGCCTAGAAAATTCTTGTGCACACTAGGCTTACTATAATACAACGCCATGTAAGAATCAGTCCCATTTATTACACAGTTTTGAAATACGAATCCGGTCGACTGCGACGGGTCGATTCTACCTTGGGCGGTGACCGCATTGTTCTCTCCCTTTTCTGGTTTTAGCTGACGTGGCGCGATGAGTATTAGGCAGTCTTGGAAGAAGGAAGCTGAGTTTCCGAATATGAAGTCGACGTTGCCTTGGATATGGCACGACTTGTAATATTGACGTAAGCTGTGGGCGTAAAGGGTATCTTGATTTCCAATGAATTCGCAGTTTTCTATTACAGAGAGGTCGCTGTCTGATCGGAACGCGACCGCTTGGTGAGCATCGGGGCCCGCTGTGTTCTTGATTGTGAGTCCACTTGCCATAAATCCATCTCCAACAACACCTATTTTTTTTCAATTAGAGATTCAAATATTAGATGTGGTCTATTTATACAATCAAATGTGACAATAAAGAATAGAACTTTTGTATCTTCGAAACTTAATTTGTTCATGAATTCCATCAGCAAATCAGAACAGAGTAGACACGAATTAGCTCTTCAAATAGTGCAATATTTGAGTCGAGATTTTTAAAGAAATTTATCGATACCATTAAATATTATACATACATATACGATACTAGATGAATCTATACTTCCATTAATCGTGCTTTATCGCAAAACTTCTCTTTAATGTCAAACTATGTGTCATATATTATGCGGTTTTCGTATCGAAAGTAATACAGAGAAAGCAGTCAACTTACCGACGGTGGCGGAGTTGTAGGTGGACACACCCTGCTGCCCCACATTCATGGACCCTGTAATTACCGTTTTGCCCATGCCATCCCCCAAGAACACAACATTCTTCTTCTCCAACGGTACCCGAACCGTTTCCTCATAAACCCCAGCCTTGATCCATATCACGAACCGTTGACCCGACTCGGAATTATTATCCGGGGCGGCATCCACGGCCTGCTGCACCGTCTCGTAATCGCACCCGCCGCCTGCCTTGCAGACGGTCACATCCGCATTTAGACCCGGCGGCACGCCACCGGGCGACCCGGACCCGGGGGAGCTCGACCCGGATTCCCAGAACCCGTCTCGCTCCGTCTTGGGCGGGCTCCACGACACGGTTCGGTCGCCGAAGAGGTCGTAGTTCACCATCATGGCGAGAGCGTCGCTGGTGGAAGGGATGAGGGAGGAGTGGAAGAACGACATCGTTTCGGCGACGAGGGAGGTGTCGTTCACGTACTTGAGCGCCGACCAGCAGTCGTACTGGTACACCAGGGCCGCGCTCGTCCATGCACGCGCGTCCTTGATTCGGCCACGTGGCAGCGCGTCCCCCACCGACAAATTCGTCCTGTACTCCGAGTAACGCAGCAGCTCCAGGCAATTATTCGCGGCGCCGGAGCGGGTCGGGTTGTCTGCCGACCCGTCCAGGATTCTACGGACCATGACCCGACCCGTATCAAGATTCTGCGACGAAACCCACATGGCGGACAGAATCACCTGAGCAACGGCGGCGTCCGGGGGAACCCGGTTCGACTTCGACAGAGAGGATTCGCACGTGGGAGGGTCACGTGAGGCCTTGCAGGCCTCGTGGATGATGGTGGAGCGATCTCCGGCGGGAGGTGGGGTGTCGGCGGTGGGCTTGACGTGGCGGTGGCGGGAGGCGGAGGAGATGGTGAAGAAGAGGAGGAAGGAGACGAGGCCGAAGGAGAGGAGAGCGGCCATTGAAATGAAGATGAATTTGAAATGGTGGAATTGTTTGGGATTGTTGTTTGTGGGGTTGGGCAATGCGGGCGGTGCGGTGGGTTTTATAGGTTTTCTGAGCTGCATCATTTTCATAATTATTAAAAGAATTTCTTCCTATTAAATAAAATGAAAAAAAATGGGTAAAAGAAACTGTCGCAATCAAAATCAAGAAAATGGCAAGAAAGAATATTTGAGTGAGTGAATTTGGAAGGTAGTGATTTGGAAATGGAGTCACGGGATTGAGTGGGACGGTGAGACAGCGAGCACTAAAGGAAATGGGGATAAAAAAAGGTGGAACGTGTATTTGGGAAGTTGGGTTATTACTTATTGGAATTAATGGAGATCTGGTTTTGGTTACACTGTTTAGTGCGTGAATCTGTGTTTGTGGGGGCCGAGGGTTTTGGTGAAGGAGAAGGTGGGTGGGGGTGTTTTAAAATGGGTAAATAGCACTTTATCCCCTGTGGTTTCAATTTGTTGCACTTTACCCCCTATTGTATCAATTTAGGCATTTAAACTCCCTGTGTTGTGCGGCCGTCAGTTTAGTTGTTAAAGGTTAATAAAAATGGTTAAATATCTAATATACCCTTCTATTTTTTTACAATTTACATGTTAAGACAACAACACTCTTTGTGCAACTTAATTGCACACAACCATTGTGTAATGTCTAATTGTCGGGTAAGTTCTCGTATTAAAAAAATAGCAATTACCTCCCTGTGTTTCATTTATTTAGCCCACCGCCCTTTGAACTTGATAAATCTATGGACCAAATGACCAAACTACCCCTAATTAAATGTACAAATAAATAACAAAATATAATTAAAGCAATAATAAAGAAAAATAAAATAAAATTAAAAGAACTCATTAAGTTCCACGTGGCCTCTTTTCTTCACACCAAAATAAAAAACATAGTTGAGAGAAGTCTGTCTTCACTGTTCTTCTGCAATCTACATCTTCATCTCTGCCGACTTGCCATCTTCATTTATCCTCCGCCATGCTCCATCTCTACTATCATCCATCTACGCCACTATCTTCATCTCTGCTCCGCCATCTCTCATTTTGACGTGAAGAATCTGATTCTAAATAGATGCAGACCCAAAAAGGAATCCAAGCCTCTCTCTCCTCCATCAAAATCTCACACAGTACACACACCGACACTAGCCAAAGACGACCCTCCATCAGCACCATCCTCGTCCACTTCGCTGGCACTCACCTCCGCCTAATAATCTGGCATTGGACGTGAACCCTAGATCGCAATCCATATATGCTCTTGCGAATTCAAATGTGAAACTGGATTTTAGGGATTCTCCTTCTCAATCTCATTGGCTCGTTGGGAATGAGAAGATGAAGATAATTGCGGTGATGGTTTTGGTTAATTTTGGAGAAGAGGGATTTTTTAAAATATTAAGGACTGAATTAAAAATTTTATAAACTTTATTTTGCTTTTTCTTCTTTTCCTTTAACATCCTTCTAAATGACCTAGCAGTCGTTGACTTCCCCCATTTCAATTCAATTTCACACCTTCACAAAAAATCCCCTTTTCTATGTCAATCTAGGGCTAACATTGTCGACGATAAATTGCAATAATCTGAAGATCTTCGTAACTCTATCATGACTTGGAAGTTAAGAGAGGGCAATGACTTGGACGATTTTCGAAAAAATGCTCCAGAATATGGTATGCGTTCTTAGAATTCATATTATTTGTTTTTTTTGTATGTAAATAGTTGTTTTATGTATTCAATGTGGTTGTACATGGGGTGTTCTTGGATTTGTTTATAATATAATATAGTGATTTCTTTGTTTGTTTATAGTATATTTCTGTATTGTGTGGACCACATTAATTTTCTTGTCTCCCATATGTTTATGCTAGCTTACAATACATGTTTGGACCACATTTTAGTCTCCCACTTTGATTTTAGCACGTTTTAATTTTTTGTCCTTATTACCATATCATACAGTTTTTTATTAGATTCACGTGTTCTGAAAATGTGTTTTATATATTTTTTGGCAGGCCGCAATAGTGATTATTTCACAATAGTAATGCACCATTCTGGAAAAATTATGGATTTAGGTAAGATCTGTTATGTGGGTGGGAAAGTTAGTTATTTTGAATACTGTTGTTATGATGAAATGTCAATGACTGAAATAACTGAAATGGCAAGAGAATTAAAATTGGAAGATTGGGAAGATTTCTATCACAGTAGAAGTGCAATACAAGATTGTAGTGTTCTTTATTTAATGGAGAATGATAATGATGCTTTGGAATTAGTGAACTATCTTGACAAAGACAGAGTCACTACAATTTATGTGAAGCACCTACAAGTAATAGAAGATGAAACAGAAAAAAGTCAACCTGATTCCTTTGATTTAGATAATCTTCCATATGTAGATGAAGCAGTAGGGTATGTGAGTGATGTTGATGAAGTTGATGAGTTTAATGATGTGTCTGAGTCTGATGTGCCTGAATTTGAGGTTCTTGGTAGTAATATGTATGTGAATCATATGACTGACATTTTTGGTGATAATGATGGTTTGTTTGATGATAATGATAGTGGTGGCAGTGATGTTCAGTCAGTTGGAGATGATTCAGAGCACTCTGACTTTTTGGTTGATAGTGATTATTTTGCATCTGATGATGATTTTCAATATGATAACAATGTTGATCCTGGGGTAGAGTGGGGTGGACTTATGTCAGATGAATAGGCTGAAGAACCTAGAAGGTCTAGGAGATTAAACAAGGGAAAGAGAAAGTGGCAGAAGATCAGATTGATGAAACTGCCAAGAAAGATCAATGGAAACACCACAACTTTCCAGTTTTTAATCCAAAGGTAGACATGGCTGATCCTAACTTTCAGCTTGGTGTTTGCTTCAATGATGCACAGAGTTTTAGAGATGCCATAAGACAACACTCCATAGTTAATGGTAGGGACATAAAGATGAGGCTTAATGAGAAGTATAAGATTCAAGCCATATGCAAGCATCCAAGTTGTCCCTGGCTAGTCTATGCTTCTCAAATGAGAGGTGAATCCACCTTTCAAATCAAGACAATCAATGCAGTCCATGAATGTAACAGAAAGAAGAGGGTGGCTTGTGCAACTTCTAGGTGGTTGGCCACTAAATATGCAGACAAAATAGTTACTGATCCAAGATGACCATTGGACTCTATGATGACTGTGGTCCAGAATGACTGCAAATTGTTATTTAGCAGACACCAACTGTACAGAGCAAAGCAAAAGGCAATAGAGAAGAGTACAAGGTCTAATATTGAGCAGTATGGGCTCATATGGAGGTATGCTTAGGAAATTAAAAAGTCTAGTCCTAGGACCACTGTTAGAATCAAAGGAAGTGGTGAAGCAGATCAACTGAAGTTCAAAAGAATTTACATTTGCTGGGATGAATTGAGACAAGGGTTTCTTGATGGGTGTAGGCCAATCATCTTCTTAGATGGTCGTCACTTGAAGTCCATATATGGTGGGATTCTTCTATGTGTAGTGGGGATAGATGGAAATAATGGCATGTATCCCTTTGCATATGCTGTTGTAGAAAAGGAAAAGAGAGAAAGTTGGTTGTGGTTTATGAATTTGCTGAAAGAAGACTTGAAGATTGAGGAGAGTCAGCACTGGACCATCATGAGTGACAAGCAAAATGGGTTATTAGATGCAGTGGAGGAAGTTCTGCCTAACAGTGAGCACATATTTTGTGTCATGCACTTGTACTGTAACTTCAAGGTATCACATAAAGGATTGACACTAAAAAACATTTTGTGGCAAGCTGCTAGAGCTTCAAGAGTGGTAGATTGTGAAAGAGTGATGAGAGATTTGGCCTCCAAAGATAAAGATACTTTCAAATGGCTTGCAAAAAGGCCTGCTGCACATTGGAGTAGAGCTTTTTTCAATACCAATTCAAAATGTGATACACTTTTGAACAATATGTGTGAAAGCTTTAATGCAATGATTCTAAGGCCTAGAAGTCTACCAATAATTGATATGTTGGAGGCAATCAGAAAGACCTTGATGAAGAGGCTGCATGTGAAGAGGGATAAGATGTCAAGCCACAAGGGTGACATATGTCCTAACATTCAGAGACAGATAGAGGAGCTGAAGAAAAAATCAATGGAGTTCATAGCTAATTGGAATGGTAAGGATCAGTTTGAAGTTGAGAATTGCTATGGTGATAGATTTAAGGTGCATTTGGGAGATAAGACTTGCAGTTGTAGAAATTGGCAAATCTCTGGAATTCCTTGTGCACATTCCATTTCAGGCATGTACTATCTGGGGAGAATGCCTGAAGATTATGTTGAAGACTTTTATAAGAAGAACATCTATATGAGAGTGTACAACCACTTACTTGACACACTTGAAGGAATTGAATCTTGGCCTGAATCTGGAAAGCCACCCTTGCTTCCTCCAGACATTGTGAAGATGCCAGGGGAGATCAATGGTCCAAAGGACATCCCACCACCACTTGCCTTAACAGTAACAAGGATTGGGAGTTTGGGTAGACAAGGTGTCATAATGACATGTAGTTCATGTCAAAAGAAAAACCACAATGCAAGAAGTTGGCCCTTGAAGAAGGCAAGTGGTGCAGTTAATGACAAAGGCCAGGTATATGCATAGTTTTCAATTATTCATTATTTTATTAAGTTAATTGTTAACTAATGCAGTTGAATTTGTTTCCAATGCTAGAGAAAGAAGTCAAACACACAAGCTAATGTTACTCAACAACAAAGCCAAACTGTGACAGAACAACAAAGTCACACTACATTTGAACCTCATATGGAAGTTCAAACAAGTATTGCTATTAACAGAAATGTACTTAGCTTTTGTGATTTGTAGCCAAACTACTGTTTCTATGTTAATTTATGATTTTTTTATTTTTTGATTTTTTACATTTCTGTAGAGGAAGCTTGTTTTTTACATTAACCAGACTCAAGAAAGTGTAGCCGAGCCTTCAACAAAGAAGAAATACCAGTGTCAAGAAAATGGAAGAAATCTATGATTTCTGAAAAGGTAATGTATTTAAGATATGTTTGAAACCCCCAATTTCTTTTATAATTTATTTTATTCTAACTTGTGGGAAAAATCAGGTTATTGGTAAGACAAACAAGGAAAATGAAACAATGGTTTCTTCGGATACAAGGAAGGGGAAGGAAAAGAAGAAGGAAACAACAATGGTGGCCAAAACAAGCAAAGGGAAGAAGCAAGTTGTGCTTCAGCCTTCATCCCATCACAGAATCAGAGGCCAAAAAAAGCCACACCAAAGAAGAAATAGTGGCCATTTATTTTGTTAGGATGTTATTGTTGTGATTTAAGTACATTTTGAACATTTTAGATCAATAATTTTTGCATTTTGAGAATGATCTTTTGGGATTGCTCTTTTGAGAATGACTTTGTTATTGGTCTTGTGAACTATTTTGTATTTTGGTAAGATTATGTAATTTGTATTTTGCATTTTGGTTGCACTATTTTATATTTTGGTAAGACTATGCACTATTTTGCATTTTGGTAAGACTTTGAACTATTTTGTATTTTGGTAAGACAATGTATTTTGCATTTTGGTAAGTGTTAAGTGTATATTTTTACACTTTATCGTACCTTTTTATTTGAGCTTTTGGTGTGTTTTAACGATAATTGGTTCTTAAAAAGTTGATTTATTTTATTTTAGGTACAAATTGAAGAATTGGAAAAGTATGGGGTCAAAACTGTAATTTTGAAGAAAATATGGGCCAAAAGTGAAAAAAATCAAAATTCTGAAGATATAAAGCTCGGACGGCCGTCCGAGTTTTAGTTCAAATTGTGGGACGGCCGTCTGAGACCCCGAGGCAACGCAGTAAAGGGATTTTAATTGCACAAGGAAACTGTCTTATTTCCCAAGTTCTACACCCTATATAAGACCAAGCCAAGCACACAATTGGGGATCTTTTTAGGCAATTTCAAGAGCAACAAAGCAATAACGAAGACGAAGAATTGGAAGACTCTAAGCATAGATTTATCGTTTATGACTTATTTTATTTGTGTTTTTCCTTTAATCATGAGTAGCTAAATTATTTATTTCTAGGATTTTATTTGGAACCCAAGTGGGATTTATGAACCCAATTCTATGATTTTATGCAAGTTTTAATTCCGGATTATTTCTTCGACTTGTTTTATTAAGTGCATGAACTTGATCAACTTATGTGCTTTTATGTTATTGTTAATCGCATGAATCGGAAGATCGGGTTAATAATTAGAACTGTGGTAGAAGAGCCTTTGTGGTATTAACATAGGAATATAGTTAGTCTCTTAGGTAGCCATAATTGAGATTTGTGCTTAATACTGTGTTCTAGAATTAATTTCATAGGAATATAGTTGTTGGCACCAAATTTCCGTTAGTGAAATTCGCCATATGTGGAAATTAAAGATTGGCAAAGATTTGTTTTCCATGTTTATTTTGGAATTAATTAGAGTCCTATTCTTGTAATATTTTTATTAGGACTTAGATTTATTTCCATGTTTTGTATTCTAGTTAGGTATCTTTTGTATTTATCTAGAATAGAAGTAGAAATCGACTAGGATTCTATTACCTAGTTAAATCGATTTCTTAGGGCCTAAGTTAGGTTTAGGGTGGAGATTTCGTGCCTATATAAGGCCCTCAACCTCATATGAGTCCTATGGAGCTTTAATAAGAAAAATCCCAGCATAAAGGCTTTGAAGGGTGCAGCCCGTGCTGCAGCCCTGTCTGCACGGCAGGTGTGGCAACAGAACAGGTTTCTTCTACCAGGCCATAAAGAAGATCGGCGTTTCGGGAGAAGTGCTTAAAAGATCTCGGGAGAGGTCGATCCGCCGTTTGAAGGAAGTTCAACATTGGAGGAAGTCCAAGAGTGCGGAGGAGGAATTGCTTTGATTATCAACAAGTTCGAGTCGTGTGCAAGAACGGCGTATCACATAAAGAGGGAGTCTTTAGTGTTTTATTAAGTCCTATTAATGTACACATAAATCTGAACTAGTTTTGCAAGTCCTCGTGGATGTAGGGTACGTTTGTATCCGAACCACATTAAATTGTTGTGTTCTTTATTCTGCTTTTCGTAGATTTATTACTGTGACAACACAACAATTCTGTTACGTCACCTAATGTCGTAACATGTAGTCTGTCTCAACAGATGAGTGGACTTTGATAGGCACACTAGGCCAAAACAGCTCACTGGCGACGTTTTTTTTGGCGACGATTTCGATATAGTCGCTACCTTGCGACGAATTACATTAAAAAACGTCGCCAATTGTCGAAAAACAAGATTTCGGTGGAAATCTCGCGACGAATATATTAATCGTCGCCACTTGGCGACGATATTTCTCAAAACGTCGCAAATGTCCTCTCTTAGCGACGTATTTATATAAACGACGCACGAATTTTTTTTTTTGCAATTTTTTTTTTTACCTTCGCGACGAAAATGACGTATACGTCGCTAGTGCAATTGTCAAAAAAAATATTTTATTGGATTTGCGACGAATTCGGAAAAACGTAGCGTACCAAAGTGGAATTATTAAATAATGTTTATTCTTCGCGACGAAAGTGTACTAAACGTCGCTAGTAAAAAAAATTGTTTAAAAAATTATAATTATTATTTGCGACTATAGTGTATTAATCGTCGCCAAAATAATTATTGGAAAAAAAATTGTTTTTATCTAGCGACGGTTCCTAAGGAAACGTCGCGAGGCTATTTTTTAATTTTGTTGTGTGCGACGAAAGTGGTGAAAATCGTCGCTACGAGATTCGTTAAAATTGAGTTCGCTACGATTTGTTGCAAATCGTCACAAAGAGTTTAATTAGAGTACAGACCCTAATTCGATTTCCCCAATTTTCTCTAACCAGTTTCTCTCTCTTTCACTCTCTCCGTCGGCGCCTCCCCCTCCGTCTGCCATCTGCCGGTGCCACTCCCTCCGCCGGCGCCTTCCTCTCCGCCGGCGCCTCCACCTCCGCGTCCGCCGCCGCCGTCGGCCCCCCCTTCGTCTTGCTCGTCCGCCGTCCGCCGCAACTCTCTGCCCAGCTCTCCGCCCAACATCCGGCGAGCTCTATACGGCGGCGCCGCCACCTCCCTTCTCCCTACGGCCTCGTTGATCTGTAGCTAGCCTTACTTTCCTCGTCTCTACCTAACCCTCAATCAACAACCACAAAAAGGTAACTTTGTTGCCCTAATTTTTTTTCATTTGATTTGAAATTCTAATAAAATTGATTTCAAGCAAATATCAGATTGATGAAATTAGGGCACTCGATAGGCAAATATCAGATTGATCATGATATTAAAAAAAAAATTGTTTGAGGATGATGATACAGTGAGAAATATAGAATAATTGTTTACCTTTTGGTGTTGATTTTAGTGAGACGTTGAATGTAATATAAATATATAATACATGTACAGATTTTTAGTAAATTATATTGTTGTGTTCTTTTGACTTTGTAGTAGATGAATTGTGAAACAGTGAAACTAGATTTTGGTTAGTTAATAGTTTTTTGATCACACTTGAGCCGATAATTAATTGTACGTAATTGACGAAATCTGTTCGTATATGTTCAACTTTAATTTAGTTTTAATTTTCTATATAATCTTCACTTAATTTAGTTTTAATTTTCTATATAATCTTCACTTAATTTAGTTTTAATTTTCTATATAATCTTCACTTAATAGAAATCAGTTCGTATATGTTCAACTCAGGCGAGCGATGTCGGAGGAAGATATTTCTGTTGATCATATAGGTACCGAGTCTACAGGTACTGACGTGGTTGATTTGGAGTTTGACGAAAAGGGTATTCCCGTTGCACCTGGGAGGTACAAGTTGGCGGTGGCTATTAGTAACGAGGTTACGCATTGGGATAATTTTGATCCATGTATTTCTTGGCCTAACCACAAAAAAATGGGCCATGTCGAGGGATTGTGGAAAGCGTTTAAGGTATTTGTATGTAATTTTTATTTTATTTAAGTTATTTAATTTTTTGTTTCATTTCAATTGTATATTTTTTATATTTTATTTAGGAAACTTGGAAACTTCCTGAAAATGAGGCTACAAAAAAATGGTTCAATGAGACTGCTAACGGTCGTTGGAAAGATGGAAAAACTAAACGATTGAAGGCAGTCTTTGATAGAGCTTCAGACCTTGCCACGGCTAAGGCAAATTGTCCAAATAGGATTAGTGTTCAAACTTGGGAGAAACTATGTGATCAATTTCATTCTATTTCCACTCCTGGTGTTGATGGGAAGGTAAATTATATATATTTAATTTATGGAAAATGTTTAAATATATTAAAGAGTTTTAATTTTTTGTGTTATTGTTCATAGTCCAAATCAACCAAATGCAAGGATTCGCGAAAGAAAGTCTCGACAGACCACCATTGGGGTCGAACAAGTATCAATAGTTGGTCCCACAATCATGTAAGTAATTTGATCTATAAGTTTAATTTATTTAAGTTTAAAATAGATACTTACTTTATAATATTTTAGTATAGTTTAAAAAATTGGGCAAAAATCCTACGGTGTTTGATACGTATAAGAAAGCATATATGGGCATTGATGTACTGAGGGAAACCGGGCCAACTATTAGTGAGGAAGGAGATACGGAAGAACCGTATAATGGGATAGCAACTCCCGAACAACTTCGCATTTCGGTAAGTGTACTGCAATTTTATTCTTCAATTGGTTGTATGTTAATTATTTATGTTTATTGTTGTCGCATGTTTATCATATTTAATTATTTGATATGTTAAATTAGTACGTAGTTGAGATATGTGGATATGAATATTTGTTTTAAATAATGTTAAGTTGTTGTATACATGGATGGTTTTTTTGGGGATGTTCATTTATTAGTTGCTATGTTGTCGAAATTTTTGCTAAACAAGTGTACTTAATCATTTTCAGGCTGATTTGGAACGAGTGTACGATGAGACAATTCGTGATGGAAGTGACGAAAGCACGGCCAACTCAATTGCGATAGAAAAAGTGCTCGGAAAAAGCAAAGGGCTTGGAATTA